ATACATGTAATTTTGCATAAATAATACAATAATGAATACAATTATGCCCCCTTGGGTGAGTGCGTACTTTTGACAAGCATAAAGCACCAAGGAGCTATGAGTCAAGATTCTAAAATGACCTAGTTTTCAGAAATATCATCATCTTTCTACCCTGTGCCAGATGAAACGTGCACTCGGACACTCTCAGCCCTGCATCTTTTCCTCCATGTTTGAGGTTTTGCCGTGACTTACACAAGAACAAGCCATCTGCAGAAATTTCTGAGATGATCTCATAACAGGAAATGTAATTAATCATAGAACACTGATGGGTGATGGTCACCCATGAGACTGGGTTACATTTTTACCGTGTTGCTGCTGTCTGAGTTGCATGGGTTCTTCAGGCTGCTCACTGATGTCATTGAAGGTAAGTATGTTTCTCAGCTCGTTGCTCTTGTCCCTTTGTTGTTATATGAAGACAAGTATGGTTGTAAATAAAGTACTTGAACTTGCCTTTTGCTGTTGTGTTTATATATTTTAATTATTTTGAGATTTTCGAGAGATCAGTTTCATGGATGAGTATAGACTGACAATGAGGCTGAAAACTGCATGACTTGAACTTTAAGACTTCCCTTGCTCTGAATGCCTGACATTTTCCGGGTTTAGCTGTGGTTCGATAAAGAGTCTAAGTCCGTTTAAAAGAATTTTGAAAAGAGTAATGATGAGCATTTTTGTGTGCCTTTTGACAAACTTTTTGCACCCAATGATCTGTTAGACCCTGTGAGGGCAGCCCCGGTGCAAAAGGAGCTGCGGTGAATCCAAGCATAATGAAGCTGTATGAAACCTCCTCAATTATTGATTTTCATTTTTACTTGCAGGGATGAATATCAAATGCAAAGATTCTAGCTGAACTTCTCATAGATTACGTAATAGGTCTTCGGGGCCAAAACCATCACATGGATATGAAGATTGAGGTCTGATTACATCATTTTCCAATATAAATGAGGAGCACACACTGTTATCCTCTGGCAATATATCATACTTATCAATGTAAATGATTTCATCATTCATCCATGCATTAGTCAGAAAATGATCTTTTGACAATCAAAAGCCGGTCCTGGCCAAAGAAGCCGTCAGCACAGGAGAGCACACACTAGAAACACGTAGTATGTAAGCTGAATTTGCCTACAGAATGTATAAACTACAAAGACAATAATCAGAATTAAAAGACAATTTTAAACATCACTTATTTAAAGTTTTTCACTAGAATATGCCATTTTTTGCCTCTACCCAAAGCCTCTCTGTAAGTCAATGAAATCTACTCCTTATGTTACGTGTAGACATCAGAAATTCTGATGTAAACATCAGAATCAACTGGGCCTGCTCAGCATATGTAAACATGCCACAGAGTACAACTGATGTTAATTATTTAGCTGCTCAAAGCAGCACATCTGTGTCTGAACTGACTCAGGGATTAGTCACCTTTGTTTGCATGCTATTTAACCCAAAAGTCATAAGTCAATGATAAATGTGCATCAAAGTTTACATTTGAAAGCCCTGTAAGGGAAATATTAAGAGTTACACTTCTGATGTTTATTTTTGCCATGAGGCGATGTGAAGAAATGTCGTGTTCATGAAAGTCAAACATTGCCACATAGTTTAACATGAGCAAACACAATGTTGGCTTCACCTTTGGTGATGTGTTCTGCCCCAGCTGTGCATCTCCTCAAAATATAAAGCTACTTCAAAAGCAAGCTTTAGTGGTATAGAATTCACGACTTTGTGACAGAACAAAATTAAACTCATTCATATACCTTACTTACTCATATCACAGGCCCATTTAAGTATAGCTAAAAATAGAAATACATTCTGGTAAATATGAGACATGAACAGACAAAATAATTTTATAAATGACTTGGCGAGAAAGCGGTGATGTCAAGATACTAACTCAGTAAGAGAGAGAGGTAAATTGGATTCTCCAGGGAGAAAAGGAATTACACATGCATGAAAAGATGTATAATTGTATGAGCAAACTGGGCTAATTGCAGAGGGAAAAGAAGGCTTGTGCATGTCTGGGCAATCTTGTGTGGCATTGGCACACATCAGTTAAAACTACTTTGTAAGGAAATAAGTAATTGATTGTGGAAAGTCCTTTCCCTTTCCCTTGCTGAGCAGAGCCTGAGAGAGATCCAGATCAGCTAGGACAGGAGCAGCTCACACTACTCACTGGTTGTATTTCACTCATTTCATATTGTTAGAGCTGAGATTAGACTTTTTTTTTTAAAAAGTGACAAACTCATGTTCAGCCATCAGCAGCTTTCAGCTATACTTGAACCTTTTGCCCGATGGGCAAAGTGGGCTCCTGCGGCAGAAACATATGACAATGAAGGAATACAACTGATCTATTTTTGGGTACACAAAAATGGCAGAATGCGCTCAGAGGTCACAGAGCAGACCACAAGGAAATCTCCCTGTGGTCTGATCTGTGATCCTTAACTGATCAGATCTTTTTAAAATATTTAAGTTTTATAAATTCATGTAATATGTCCATCTCTCCAAGCAGCACTACATCACTATTATGATTCATAGACAGTTTAACTCCCGCTCTATGGTGTGTAGACTCCTGCTAGTGTGTTTTGTTAATCTATGACCACAGAGTGTAAATAGATGGAAATATAAACTGTAATGTCACCTTTTGGATGACTCGCAGTTTGAGAGCCAGTGGGTCAGTGTCTTGGCCTTTTTTTAATCAGATAATGTGAGGGATCAGTTCAACTGAGTACTGCACTCTGCACTCCCTCTGAGCAGAGGATCTTTGGACTCAGGTCAGCTTTGCCCAAATGCAGACTGTAACTCAATATCCTAAATGGAACCATAACCAACCAAATTAAATTCCAGTTCTGCTAAAGTAGATGTGAATCTGATACATCATGAGGCACTATAGTTTTCCTATAACCTTCTGATAAAAGATGCATTTTTGTACAGTCCATGCCCACAATACATGGATTTGCAACGTCAGAGCTAGCCTTTCTGTCCACTTCCATTGAAGGGAAATGGAAGTACAGCAGAGGCCCACAAGCACACACAGGAGAGGTGAGACTGAGAGGGACAATAATAGAAGTGTTAATCCTCTGAAACAGAACCTTTGATACGCTGCACAATCTCCTGGTCAACGAATTAAGAACAGGCTTTCCCCTTCTGTGGCTCTTTTTTCTCTTACAGGAACAAAAGTTTTCTAAAAATCTGCTAGTGGAGAGTAGCAGGAGCTGTGGGTAAACAGTAGATGAGTAGAGATTATATGTAACATAAAAATTAATATCACACTCTTTTCTCATGAGCCAAAAAAACTCAAATTTCCACCACAGCAAACATTAAATATGTGTGTGTTTTTAACACCACAAACTTTGTTTCTGTAGAGGCTTGCAGGACATCTACACCATGAGCGGGGTCAGTAAGTGGCTAATTGAATCCAAATGACATAATGAAGAGGGCATCGACTCACCTCAAGTCTAACAGATGGTGGCATTTTTTAGAGCGACAACCAAGCCATGTGGTCAAGACATGTTCAGAACAGGATTGTGTCAAGGCCAAGTCCTGGGGCCGGCAGGAAATCAGGGACTGAGCATGACCTCCTGAAGTCACGGCACGATCATTTTAAGGAGAGGTTTTTCCTAGGGCAGAGGCTGGGAGATGGGAAGATACCGGAATCAATCCCAAGTGACCAATGAGTTCACATTGTTAAGGATGACAGGCACCAAAAGAAAATGTTTTCACATATAACACAAGATTGAAGATCATAGAATGAAGGGAGTTTTTAACTTTTGATCTTGATAAAAAAAAATACTTGCAAAAAGGATGATTTTAATTAATAACTTTTCAGACAAATTAGCCATATATATATTACTCTCTCTATATATATATACATATACATACAGACCTCCTTTGGTACCTGATGCCACAGATTAGTCATATTCAATAGGAACATTTACTGATATATTAAACCTATTTGTCTAAGGTAATACATATTTATTCTTACACAGATTGTATAATATGCTAAAAACCTATTTACCTGATGCTGTCACAATTTATCAGTGGGGATAAATCTAAATTGTGTAAATGAGTGCAGACTGTGTTTATATTGATTTTTTTTTTCTTTCTCGTTATACTTCACTGGTGACACAGTGCCCTCTAGTGAAATTGTAGGCATTTATAACATTACAAAGGCTTCAGGACAAGCTCAAATGATAAAAAGCACAACAATGAGCACTTTCTATTTGGCTTTATATAAAATGCACCAATCTGCCATCCATTCAGTGTGAAACTAGTCAAAAAGCGTTCCAGGATATGTTCTGTAAAAAAGTGGCAAGTTTTTCATTTAAAACAAAGTCTTATGAAAAAATAATTGAATCTGACCCCAAACTGTCTCTTTCCTGCAAAATACCACAACACACAGAAAAGCACACACGTACACACTCCGGTCTTAAATTAACCACACTTCTTCTCGTGTTGCACCAAAACACTGAACAGCGCTTCTGTAATTTACCCAGAATACACCTGGACGAACTGACGAACCCATACACCTATGAGACTGGGCACTAGTGTGCGAGCCGACTTTTTAGAACAATAATTGATCACTTTTTTATAAGTTATTTCAATGATACAATAAAACCAGAATGGCTAAAGGTAAAGGAAAAGCAACATAACCAAGAAACAATGTTCTATGCACATTGTTTTTTAACATGTACCCCCCCCTTAAAAAAAAGATAAATAAAAAACATTTTATAAAATTAAATGTTCAAGTTTATTAAAAAAAATGTAAGGCCCTGTTATGCTATTAAAGTGAAATGGTGAGTTATAATACTAAAGTTTTGTAAACATACCTCATGAAACTACATTATTATTAAAGTTTTTTTTATCTTTTATGTATGCAACTAACAAAATGACGATATGTAACCACATGTAAGCACACAAAGTGTCAAACAAAAACAACACAACTTCCTCCGGTCGCTGTCAGTCCGTCCCTCCTGAACAGATCGTCCACGGACTGCACACCAGCAGATGACAACAACAAAACAGTCAGGGCACCGAGAGGGTGTTAGCGTAGTGAGCTACTTCAGATAAACAAGTGGTGGACAAGCTCTTGTGTGACCCAATGACGGCTTGAGCTTTCACTATTTCAGATTTAATGGAATATGCTTAATGAAGACTGCGTATGTTTCGAAATGCTTCCTGACTGTGTTAGTGTAGTTTACATTGGCTAAGTGGCTTCCAAGCTACCTCTATGTATGCCAAGTTAAAACGGGTTAGCTAGCTAGCCTATCTGCTAGCTTGTTAGCTAGCCAACTCGCCTAGCACAAGACCAAGAAAAGGGAGATGCGAGCGAGTGAGGTAAGATAAATTACATAATTTATTTTGTAATTTATATGTCATCTATAGTTCTTAAATTTGCATACGTCCATTGAAGAGATGTTTATTATTTGGGTAATTTTAACTGAATATGTCATGTTGATCGACATTAGATACTGGTGTCCTGCGTTAGCTTGACAGCTGTGTTAGCTAATGGCCACTTAGCGGAGGCAAAACGGGTTATTATTGACTACATAGCTTGCTAGCAGCTACCGATGGCCAGTTGTATGGACAAGAGTCATGACTAACTGGAGGCCTCCGTGTTAATTTCAAGATCTGAGTGGTCTCAACCCTTAAAAACATTCGTTTAGAAAAAGCTCTGACTAAGAAGAGGGCCGCAGACGACTAAAACATTGACATTTGTTAACGGCAATTGGCAAACTGACGTTGTTCACGGGAGAGAAGTATAGCTGGTGAGATGGTTTACATTGTAACAACATCGTTAAAACGGCTAATGCGTAGCGCTAACTCGGTTCAGTGCTGGTCTTTCTTAGTAATTTCACTCATTTTGTCCTTTGGCTCACGGTTTTAGAGTAATTATCAGCCAAATTTAACTACTTCGGGTAGTTTTAAAAGTTTTTCGTCATAGAGAGCATCAATTTATGTGACAATTTGGACATCTAAGAAATAACAATAATCAGTCTCCTAATCTCATGTCACAGTGACTCAGCCATCACTTCAGGGGACAGTAAATGTAAAGGATTTACAAGTTTAAAAAGATTTGATGTGTCATACTCTTTTTATAAAGAGCAGGACAATCATTTAAATTATGCATATATTTCATGTTAAAGAATGACTAAGAATCTCATAAACTTACTGCAATGTATTTTGGAATGCATGGTGAAACTGAAAGCACAACCTCCCTAACATCTACAGTTTTGTACATCAGGACTGGAATGAGAAAAATGATGACAGAAAAATTATGTAGTCCTTACCCTGTATTTAGAGTTCTATGACTACGTTTTTAGATTAACTCCAACTTTTGGGCAACTTTTTTTATATCTAACAAAAGCAATCCACATTATAGAATCATTATGTGAAAGACTAAGAGTTTTCTATCAGGTCCCATTTGAATTAAAAGTGTAAGTAACAGCCATAGACTATTGGGTCATTTAAATTCACCCGATAAACTGATTAGTAGAAGATGTGCCCACATCCTTAGACAGGGACACAGTCTGGCAGATTTCTGGTCTGAAGTTTTCCAGAGTGTGTTCATATTGTACCAATGAAGGAGCCCAGTGATAGTGTCCATCTGTCTGGTAAGGATTATAAGGGCATTTCCAAAGAATTAAGATGTCACTGTCCCACACTAACACAAGTGAAAAATAAAACAACATTAGCTGTTGCAATGCTCAGACAAATCCCCCCCCAAAAAAGAGAGCACCATATCAGACTGTAAAGGGTATAAAGGCCTTTATTAGCATGTTGATTCATGAAGATTTTGGATGTACAGTTTAAGCAAGATGGACCAAAATGGGTTGTTTGGAAGGGTTTCTGAGAAGAAAGTCTGTTTTATTTTTTAAAGCAGCAGCATCGTTCAAGTTTTGTAAATTACACATGAAGAAACCACAAAACTCCTGGAATAAAAGTGGAGACATTTAGCCATAACGCACAGCGCCACACTGAACAACAAAACACAAATTTAACATCATAGATTATAGTTTTTGAGTAGGATTAGTGAAGTTTGTTTTCTTTCTCAAAGACCTGGACACCTTGTTGTTAGTCAGCAAATATTTTAAAGTCAAATTTGAGGCCTGTAAAATTTGGCCAAAATGCATCATGCAAAATGATCACCAGGAAATCTACAAAAGAATGGCTAAAAAGAAAAGAATCAAGGTGTTTCAATGACCCTGTCAAAGTCCATACCTCAGTCTGATTGAAATACTGCAGCACAAATATTTATTTACTGACCTTATGAGTAAAATCATACACTACATGTACATTATTTTTCTAGGTTTTGCATCCAAAGTTCCACCTAATCATTACTTTAGTTTTGTAACCTGAGAAAATGGCAGCACCATATCTAATTTTAATCAATTAAAAGATGTGTTGCATTTACACTCAATAGTGTGTAATAAAACACAATAATGCTTTTGAGAGGCTGTTCCCTGCTATGACTTGTGTGTCCCTCAGCTGTAAGATATGAAAAACATTTGCCATACTGGCAAAAATCCCTATGATTTCTGTATTCATGTGATCATTGATAATTAACCGATGGTAATTATCCCAAAATGACCCAAAAAGAGCGGCTGATAAAAGGGATTTCTGTTTAATGTAGCTGTCAGGGGCAGGTGTCTGAACACTTTGTCCCTCAGTTATTCTGAAACACTGAGCTACCCCCTGTCTCACATTCACCTAGCCTCCCCCTGTGTAGCCCGCTCTGCGGCTTTTCAAGCTTCAAGTGTTGTTCAGAAATAGGTGACTGAGGTAAAGCTTAGAGTTGTGAGTGAAGCAAACACTTGATGAGTATTCTTAATCATTGTTTTTCACATTTGTATTTGTTCTTGTTTTTCTCTGTTTGCAGGGGGAGTGGTGCCTGACTAAATGAACAAGATAAGAAAGTTCGCAAAACTCCAGGAGATTCATCATGAAGTTGTATGTGTTCCAGGTTAACAATGGCAGCACATTGACATTTGACACCGATCTTGCTGTCCAGACGTAAGGAACTTACAGTTTTCTAACATAATACAAAAATGGGGTTGAGTAACTCCTGATGATTTTAACGTATATCTATGTTTTCTTTTGTCTCAGTGTGCTGGAGCTTAAAAATGCCATCCAAGCCAAATATAAGATTGCAATTCAGCATCAAGTCCTTGTTGTAAATGGAGGAGAATGTATGGCTGCAGACAGGCGAGTCTGCAGCTACAGTGCTGGCACCGTGAGTTCAAGCTCTTCCTTCCTTTGATTTGATGACTGTTTTCTTTTTTACATATGCAGTATGCAGAGGTGATGTTTTGTTTACTTCTGTCTCACTGTTGAACTTCAGGAAACCAACCCCATCTTTCTGTTCAACAAAGAGATGATCTTGTCTGACCGGGATCCAACAATCCCCAAAACCACCTTCTCGATTGAAAGCGAGATCCAGGTTAAAGTTGAAGAGTCCTTACTGATGCCAGCTGTCTTTCACACCGTTGCCTCACGAACGCAGCTTGCTCTGGTATTCATCTCCTTTATTTTTGCATTTTATGCAATTGTTTTTCAGTTTTATGTTAAGACAATACCTTTTTTTTTGCTGTTGTGTGTGTATTTTTATATGACTGACATTGATAAAAGCACATGTGTCAAATGATATTGCATTTTTGCAATAGAGTTACCTTTATATTAGGAACAGGAACTCACAAGAACAGAATAAGTTTGCAGGCTACTGATATTTTAGTTCACTTGTGTGTTGTAATCGGGTGTAGAGAGCCAAAACAACTAATTGCATCTCTGTTTTTCCATCAAATAATTACGATCACTTCGTATGCCATGAGATATATTTCTATTCAGATTTCCCAAATTGATAGCTTCTTGCAATAGATTCTCAAACAAAAGCAGTTCCTCAGTTGTTTTGTGAACATGCTGTGTTATTGTAGCAAAATAGAGTGCAATCCCTGTATATGGTATGCAAATATGGTATGCAATGACTCTTAATTAGTAAAGTGTGGAATAAAGCATTCAGTGGTCTTGCTGTGATATTCTGACATATTTTTCATCCTCTCCAGGAAATGTTTGAAGTTGCCAACAAACTTTGCTCCTTCTGTGAACGTTTGGTTCATGATGAACATCTCCAACATCAAGGCTGGGCTGCCATTATGGCCAATCTGGACGACTGCACTCTGTCTTATCAGAAGTTACTCATGAAATTCAACACAGCATACTCAAGTTATCAACATGACCTGGAGGAAATTAAAACCAAGCTTTCAAAGTAAGTGTCATTTCAGGTACCTAACAAATCTTTTAGTATATTAAAATAGGTAAATAACACAAGGGGATTTTTTGGGCTGTTAAAATAATTCGATAAATCAATAAACATTTTTGTCGTGTTTGCAGGTTAGGAACAGCAGTTTCTGTAATGGCCAGGATACCTCTGCTGGAGTGTTTGACAAGACACAGTTACAGAGAGAGCATGGAGAAGTCCAGTTCAACTCCAGAAAAGGATTCAGACGACACAGAGGAAGAAAGGTCTTCGGACTCTGTGCTTGGCACAGCTCAAACGCCAATGCCCTCCAAGATGTCCTCCTCTATGTCTGCTTCGGGAACAGCCACATGTGAGGCCGATGGAGACCAGGAAACGAATGAAATGACCGACAGTGGTGGGCTGAGAGCTGCGCTATTAGACGATGACACTCCAGATCTCACCATCCCGTCCGCATTCAATGTTACACTATTAGACTGGATCAACGTACAAGACAGACCTAATGACGTGGAATCTGTAGTGAGGAAGTGCTTTGATTCTATCAACAGGGTGAGTCTTGGATATGTAGACATGTCCGTGTTTTATAGTAAGTATAGTAAGAAATGGAGCCTCATAGAGATGTTTTGTCTTTCAGCTTGATTCACGGATCATTCAACCCTTCCTGGCAGAATGTCGTGACACGATTGCAAAGCTAGATAATCAAAACATGAAGGCCATTAAAGGGCTTGAAGACAGGTTGTATGCTCTAGATCAAATGATTGCAAGCTGTAAGAAGCTGGTGAATGAGCAGAAAGAGCTTGCTCAGGTATTAAAAGATTAGCACCATTAAATGAAATCAGTTATTCAAATTCTGTCCTGTTTTGTTTTTTTTCTCTAAAATGTGTGTTTTGCTTGCAGGGATTTTTGGCCAATCAGACACGAGCAGAAAAATTAAAGGACACATCTGTTTTACCCGACTTGTGTCTGAGTCACACCAACCAGCTGATGATCATGCTGAACAACCACAGGAAGCTGCTAGACATTAAAAAGAAGTGCACCACTGCCAAACAAGAACTGGCAAACAACCTTCAAGTCAGACTCAAGTATAAAACCCCACACCTTTTCTCTAATCAAGTTTTTTGTTTTTCATGGTCGATAATTGCAACATTTCATGTTTGAGAGTCAAACAATTTTTCGTATAAGAAACAGAAAAAACACTAGTATTTTGGACAAAGTTAATGTTGGTTTTGTTTTCAGATGGTGCTGCTACGTGATGCTTCATGCAGATCAAGATGCAGAGAAGCTCCAGGCTCTTTTCAGACTGTTGACTGAGCTGATGGAAAGAGTGAGGGTGGTTGAGGCCCTCAGTACTGTGCCCCAGATGTACTGCTTGGCCGTCGTGGAAGTTGTCAGGAGAAAAATGTTTATGCGCCACTATCGAGAGGTCAGTGCTAAATGCCATAATCTGAGACTTACTTGTGATTTAACTGATTTTGACTTCCAGTTTATTGATCACATACACAAGCATTTGCGTCACATCTCCAATGAAAAATAAATCTCTCATAGTTCATAGTGAATTATTGAGCACTAAATATTGGTCTTAAACTTTATAAGATCTCTTTTGTACTGAAGATCAATGTACAGACCTTTTTCTTTGTTTAAAGAAAATACAAATTGCAGCTTTAGCTTTAAAGGTAGCAGACCCTGCTGCTGTTTTTAGAGTTTATTTTGTCACACGTCTCTTCAGACTCATGTCTCTGTATGCGGCATACTGATGTCCTGTTATTCGGCTCAGAGAATGGTTTTGCTATAATGAAAATTACCTTCTAGTTCAGTTTGTAAGTTATTATCCTCAGAGAGATGCATTGCTTGTGTTTTATTAATGTTTCATTTATGAGTTATTGATCTGGGAAATTTCAGTCTGAGACAAGAGCTGTGTACTTCATGCTTCAGGCAAAAAGGCTGCTCTGTTGTTCTTGCCGTCTCCAAACTAATCATGTCCAAAATTGAACAAAAGTTACTGTGTAGTTAAATCACAATGCTGAACTTTCTCATCAGTTACATGTTTGCGTGTGTCGTTGAATTTGACATGACATAAATCATGTAGCGGCTCATTTCTGAGAATTGCCAGCCAGTTGCTACTCATTCACATTCAATTAAAGTGAGTAACTTCTGATTCTGCCCCTAAGCCAATTGATTGGTTCTTCTGTTGACAGTTTTTTCTCTCATTCTTTCTTATTCAACTCTACAGAACGCGAAAGACCAGTCTGAGAGTTTTAATCAGTTGATAAAAGTTTTTATTATTTTTTTTACAGGATCATAATTATTACTCTACCATATGATTTTTTTTTTTAAATGCCAAAATCTTGTTTTATTCCTGCCAGTGGGCCAACGCACTTGTGAAGGATGGGAAACAGCTGTACGAAGCAGAGAAGTTCAAAAGGGAATCATTTGGGAAGCTTTTTAGTGAGTATTTAATAAAAACAAGGTCTTGCAGTAGAATAAAATGTGCCTTTCAAATAACCTAACCCATACCACTATAGGAGTTTTGAATAATTTACTGCTCTTGTCTTTTTAGGGAAGTCTTTCCTCCGAAATCGGTTGTTCAGAGGACTTGATTCATGGCCTCCGACATCATTTTGTGTAAGCTTGATCAGCGAGGTTTAAAAAAGTTTGTAATAAATGCACACTGGATGAAATCCTTTAAGGGTAATTTAAAGGATTATTTTCTCTGTTTAATTTTTTGCAGACACGAAAGCCCCGAAGGTTTGATGATGAACTTCCAGACATCTCCCTTGATGACCTGCAGTACTTGAAATCCTGTTGTCCTTTAGAGGTGCAGCCTTTCCTCATGTAAGTCATTATCCCCAGTCCCCGAAATTCCGAATACATAGATGGTCTGTTACATAGAATTTGCAACCATTGAAAAAAATGTTTTTCCCTTCAACAGAAAGTCATAGTATGACTTTTTTTATATCCATTGCTTTCTATGCAGGGTCCCCACCATGTGTGACTTTGAGCCCTTGAATCACCATGTACATACACTTCATCAGCTGGTCCAGGCTGCAAAAAGCGTCGATGAAATGTCTCAAACTATTACTGACCTACTAAGTGAACAAAGGGTAATAAACTTATCAATGACATCCAATGCTATGAAATCATAGCCTAAACGGAGAACTACTTTTGACAGATACTTTCATAAATTAACATTAACATATCTAACTTGGGCACAGCCCTGTGTCTATTTTTAATAGTATAATGTACTTTTCTTTAAGAATAATTTCCAGTTTGAATATTAAAATCTGTCATTTGTATCTTCTCTTTTTTAGGCGTCTTGTTGTCATAGTGCCCAGAGATCAGCTGCAATGACTCCACAGTCTGAGAGCCCGCTTGGCACCACAACACACTTGTCCTCCAAAACTCCCCCTTCACTCAGCCTTCAGGGACCTAGCTGCCAGCCGCTACTCGTACCTGTCCCTGCTCCTTTAGAGGATCTATCACCAGACAGTATTGATGCACAAACATTTGACTTTGAAACCATTGGCCATCCGAACATGGATCCAGTCCTGCACCAGGGATCTCTTGACTTAGATTCTTTAGCAGAGAGCCCTGAATCTGACTTCATGTCAGCTGTCAATGAATTTGTAATTGAGGAGAACTTGACATCTCCGAATCCCATCAGCGATCCGGCTAGCCCCGAAATGATGGTTGAGTCGCTGTACTCCTCAGTCATTAATGCTATCGACAACAAGCGAATGCAAGACACCACAATACTAGAGCGGGAAAACCTAAGGATCACTGAATTCAGAAAAGTTGCTGAGAAGTACCGATGTGCTGCAGAGGAGTCCCATTCCAACTTAAAGAGTGTAAAAGATGACCTCTGTCACTTTAGAAGTCTTGTTTTAAAAGAACTACGTGACTTTGGTTTGGGTTTGTGCAGTATTTCCACAGAGGTCCACAATGCTGTGGAAAACATCTGCCAGACCCGTGAAATGGAGTGGAGGGAGCAGCATCAAAGCAAACTTCTTGCTCTTCAACAAGACCTTGAGAAGCAGATCCACACACTTACAGAGGAAAACCAAGTAAACCAGAATATTGTAAGAGATGTCCAGCGTGCAATGCTGGAGCTGGAGGGACTTCTGGAGCGCAAAGAGAAGGAACTCACTCAGCTCGAGAATGAGAGGGAGCGCTGGGCTGAAAAAGCCCGTGGGCAGACTGACAGGATTCAAAACCTTGAACAGAATCTAGGTGATCAAGACGAAGAGATCAAGACGCTCTTAACCTCTAAAGAGTCTCTGACCAGTCAGCTGGAAAACCTTCACTTTGAGATTGAACGCAATCAGCAGAAGATCCGTCAGGAGCTGGAAGCCGTGGCTCAGGGTCATTTAAAGGAGTTGGAGGATAGAATGAACCAGGAGCACAAAAAAGAATTGGATTCCCTAAACCAGAGCAACCAGCAGGCCCGCGAGCATCTCACTATTGAAAATACTTCAAAGTTAACTGAGGCCGCCGATCAACATGCCGCTGCTATTAAAGAGAAAGACATTCAAATCAAGGATTTGGAAGCTCGACTCTCTGAGCTCTCAGAACTCCGCTGCAGAGTAGAGGTGGAACTAGCCCTCAAAGAGTCAGAGACAGAAGAGGTGAGGATTCTGTTTGAGGAGGCCAAACTACAGCAGGCAGAAGCTGTGAAGACCCAAGTGGAGACTGAGACCAAAGCCCTTAAAGAAGAGCTAACACATGTCAAAACGCAGCTCCAAGCGAAAAACGAGGAGTATGAAGTGGACCTAGCGGAGCTGAGAACGCTCATGAGGATCGAGAAGGACCACTGCATCTCCGAGCTGGTCGACAGGCACGAGGAGGAGACGCTCATGCTGCACGGCAAGCTCTCTGCCTTGGAACAGAAAGTCCAGGATGCAGAGAGGATCCACGCAGAGGAGCAGCAGAAACTTCAGGAGTTACATCAGCAAGCAGCTACTCTGACTGAAGAAAAAGAACAGCAGTTAACGAGAACCCAAGAGCTAGAGCAGGAGCTGAGGACTGTTATCAGCCATTTGGAAGGAGAAAATGTTCGTTTGACTACAAAACTAGAGCAGGACCGACAGGCAGTTCAGGAAGGCCTAGAAAAAGAAGCGGCCTCAGCACAGGAGGCCTTTAAAGAGTTAGAACAGCAGAAAGATGAGATGGAGAAAAAGCTTTTAGACAGAATCAGACAGCTTGAGAAAGAGCTTCATGAGAAAGAATCCACTAGAAGGTAAATTGTGTATTTAATTACAGAAACTTCTTAAATAGAAACATAGCTCAACTTAGTTTTTTTGTTTTTCTAACTTCTAAAACCACCTTGAAGTGTAAAAGGACGCACCCCTGAAGGAGATCTCGGGTGGATTCCACCTGCTGCTGTTTTTGTTGTGTTTGACTTGCAGATTCATGTCTTACTGTTAGTGAAATGTAACTGTATGCTTTTCAGGGATGAAGGGCTGTCACTCCATGCTGAGGGCCACACAGATGCCGGAGCACCCCTCTCTCTTGACTCGGCTTTACAGGAGCGCCTCCAGCAGGAGCGGGCCTCCCTGCAGACCCAGATTGAGCTCCTGGAGCGGCAGAAGAATGAAGAGATCCAGAACCTCAAGACGTCATTAATTGCTGAGCAGCAGGTTTGTATTTTGGTGTTAAATTGACTTTAGAAGGGGGAATTTGGGGTTTTGATCAGAAGTGAAGGCTGTTTTTTTATGGGAAGTCACGCCATATATCTTCAAAACCTAAAATGTAACTTTGCTTCCCTCCTGTTTTTTTTTTAAACATCTGTCCTTCACACTAATTCCAGTTTTATCTTAGGAGTGAAGGTGTAGCGCACATCATAAGAAAGCAGACAGGCTACAGAAAATGCAGTCAAAAGCGAAAGAGAAACCTAAGATGCAGCATTTTAAAGACCTTTGTCTTAAACTGACAAAGGCATCCTTTTTTTTCAAGAGCCAAAAGGTTTTCACTGGTGTATTTTGGATTAAGTTTGAAATCCTTTATATGTGAAACACAGAGCAGTTTCTCAGTCTCCACAATGTCCCCTGGGACATTTAGTTTAGCCACTAAGACTGATCTTTACGGATGATCATAGGAACTGATGATAGTAATTGTTGTTTGGATTCAGACAAATTTCAACACTGTCCTGACCCGAGAGAAGCTGAAGAAGGAGCAGATCATCAATGACCTGACAGAGAAGTTACGGAAAGTGACTCAGCAGCAGGAAAAGGACAAAGGTGGGTGCTGCCCTGCACACATGAGAAAAGCCTCGTTCTGCGCTGTATAAAGGAGCCACTGGAGGAGGTTATCTTCATTAGTCTTTTGTTTACTTAAACGGTATTGACCCACGATCGTGTGGTTTTCTCAATATCCACCTGTTTAATATTCAGATTAGGCATATTTCTGCTGCTCAATGCTGTGGTTTGAGAAAATCTTCTCTTCTAATCTTATCCTGTCCCAGCTCTGATCGAGAATCTGTCCGAGGACCGGGCCAGTGTGATGCAGGAGAAGAAACACTTGGAGGAAGAGCTCAACCGTCTGCGGAACACTTCCTTGGTGTCCTCATCCTACTTTACCACTCCCAGCTCTGGCCCAGAGGTTCCAGAGGCTGCAGCGGCCAGCGCTCTGCCCGTGGCCGGGGCCTGTTCCTCCGACACCCTGCCCGAAGCCGACCGACTGGCCTCCGTGGCCGCCATCCGAGATGACGAAAATGTTGATTCAGCAGTGGAGGCCAGCATGGTGACCGTCCAGTAAGCATCCACTGCCCAATAAATGTTTCCTGGTTTGAGAAGCTCCCGCAACTGTGATTTGTTCTACCTAATTTCAATGGTTTCAATTAAGCTTTCACTTTAACCTGGCTAGTCAGAAGAAATTGGACTAAGCCAACACATTTAGGGGAAAGTTTTAAACTGTTGTCTGCATTTGGCCCGTGGGGACAGAAGAACATCTTTAACCGAGGCCGACAAATTTCAGTCTCGGATTTTCAGTCTCAAATTTAATTTGCGAAACTTGTTTTGTAGAATTTCTTTTAAAACATTTTTAAAAAGTCTTCCTCTTAAATTCAGTCATCAATGAATGAATATAATCTGTATTCGCGTTTTACATCTTATTTTCTTTTTTTTTCTTTTATTTGAAGTGCAACTCTATCCTTAGATTTTTTTTCTCCAGTGTCATGTTGTTTGGAGAGTTAGAGACTGCAAGCATCAAAATGATCGGTTATACTGAGTGATCTGTTCTCCTTTGAAGGCGATAGATGCCTTCAGTTTTCTCAGCACGTCAGTCTTGAATAGATCCAGCAAGACGACTTTTACTCTCAGGTTTGCATGTGATTTAGTGTCAGCCATGAAAATGAAGCTTTTACTGTATTGGAGCTGTTGTTTAAAGTAGCCAAAGGTGGTTGGACAGGGAGGAAAGACTGCGGAGAGAAGGCAGACTAGGATCAGACAGTGAGGGTTTTTCATCCATTACTGTAAGTAAGATGTTCTGTCACAATGAAATGCAGATTTTTCTACTGCACACAGTTGATATTTAACTTCTCTTCTTTTCTTTTTTTTTAGTGATGCTCTAATGTCAGAGGAGAAACAACGGATAATCTTGCTTGAAAGGGTAAATGTCCACATTGTATCTTTGTTATTGCTTTTGACCTCACAGAGGAAATGTTTTTTTTTTATTATGCCTAATCCATTTATTCTGTGTTGCAGACTTTGCACATGAAAGAAGAAGAAAACAAGCGCCTCAGTCAAAGATTGGTGAGTCCTTTTTATCATTGGTGTCCAAGGTGTTTTCCACTAGGTGGCAGTAGCACTGCAGATTTAAAGAATCAAAGCTGGAGGAGGAAAAAGCCTAAATGGAAAGTGTGTCATTGCATTGAGCAAAGTGATACATTATATTGAGGCATGGAAAAATAATGTTAGAAATCTAAAAATTATGTTTTCATTGTTTTGTTTTTAGTTTTTTAAGCAGTCTAAGTGTTACATCTTCAGTGTCCACAGACACTGCACATTCTTGGTCAGGAGAAAGTGGGTTTCTAACAGTAACGCAGACTGCCAAGCCTGTTGCGTACCACCTATCCGCCGAACGTTGAAAAACGCGCCGAAGGTCTCCCACTGTGTGCATTGTTTGCATTTTGAAATACGAGTAACGTCGGCTCATCTCTTTCTTTGTAGATGTCTCAGAGCATGTCATCTGTGTCATCACGGCATTCAGACAAAATCGCCATCAGAGAGTAAGTGAATATTGGAATAATCCAGGGCCTTAACATGTCCTTAACATCTTGATTTTATTTTTATTTTTTGCCAGTTTATTATCAGCTTTAAAATGGGCTTCATTACATGCTGTATAATTAGACACAATATTATATAATTACCAATAATATGTTTTTTTTTGTACTCTGTGGAACTCCGAGTCATCGTCTCTTTGTCTATCCGTCCATATTTGTGTGTTTCAGTTTCCAGGTAGGCGATTTGGTTCTCATCATCCTGGATGAAAGGCATGACAACTATGTGCTGTTCACAGTTGGCCCCACTCTTTATTTCCTCCACTCGGAGTCTCTTACTGCACTGGACCTCAAACCAGGTCAGCCTCACCAAACCTATCATGATCACGAGGGCTGTGGCGTTAGAATTACTTCTGTGATTTAATAAAAGAGAAAAAAGGGCAGCACTTGTGCTTGTCTGTTAAATTTTATGTCAGGCATGAGTGGGTTTGTAACCATAATTATTTTAGGTAAAATTAAATTAGATTAGTTCTCGACTCTTATGAGTAGTATTTTGAAAAGCTAAATGTTTCTCATTGAATCATTTATGACTGGTTCTCTAAGTGTTTAACATGACATCACGTTGCTTTTACCGTTAAGCATCAGGGACCTCAAGACGGCCATGGGTGCTTGGAAAGGTGATGGAGAAGGAATATTGCCAGGCAAAAAAGGTGCTTTAACGTTCTTAAATATTACTTGCTAATGTATTCACAGGATATTATATTTATTTTACTTGTATAGACACATGTTGGCCCAGGAGGCTTTTTTTTGTTTTTCTTCTCTTGCTGTTACTTTGTATTAAAATGATCTTTAAGGGAAGTGCTTGCGGTGTTATTACCATTATGAAAATAAATTCAACCTTCTTTTCCTAAAAAAAAAACAACTTCTTCTTCTTCTCTTTTCTAGGCCCAGAACAGGTTCAAGGTTCCTTTAGGAACGAAGTTCTACAGAGTGAAAGCTGTTCCGTGGAACAGAAAAGTATAATGGCCAAGTAATGAGCTAAAATGTATATTTATATGGTTTGATTTTTCAACGGAAACTTCACAGCATAATTCATAACTTGAAAATTGAAAGATAAATGGAAAGAATTAAGATCAGCATCATACCATTTTGCGTTTCAGTTCAAAATCCCACCTGTTATTCCATTTTTCTTTTCTTTTAAACCCAGATTTGTTATTGTGGACCAAACGCTAACATTAACTCTATACGGGCAATGTCCTATACACTGTGGCACTACGCCCTTTGACCTGTGTGTGACATTGAACAAAATTTGGATGTTATATATTAGTTCTCATCAACATTTGTCCTTTTGTGGAAAATACAGTCATCATTAACATAATTAAATAAAGAATATACATTTATAATAAATGTTTATGGAGGAATGTTCATGGCATGCATATTGAAATATTTTCTTTGATTTACTTATCAGATAAATGTCGTAGTTGGAAATGTAGTTAATGCTGTTTGTTACTCACAAAGCAGTTTGGCCCTCTGTCGATACTGAACTGTACATTTACGACTGAAGTAAACAGTCATCTTTGCAATCCTTGAAATGCACTTTGAAAAACAATGCTTTTGTTGATTTGAAAAGGGAAGTTAATTGAGCTGTCAGAACTAAGTAAATATATCAGCACAAACTTCTCGTTATCATAGAATATTGATATGTAGAAAGGAAAACGTTGTGACCGTGTTTCATTATCGGAAGACATTGTATATTACTCATAAAATCACATGTAACAATAAATGACTGTATTGTAAAAGATAGAGTTTTGAAACAATAAAGGACTGATCCCAAATGTATTCTTTTCTCTTTCTTTTTTTTCTGGATCCGGTGCTTGTTTTGCTTTTCTGTACAATGCTATTTTTTTATTATTTTTGAATGGCAAGAAAATAATTAATTTGTTCTCCACATTATAAAACTAAACAAAAAAGGAAGAGTTCTTTTTGATTCTTAAACCAAAAACAGTCGAACAGCAAAAAACTTGCTAATGTTGACAATGACTCCATCATTTGTTTTAAAATGAGGAAATCTGCATTACTAATTGTGAAAAAAGGGGGACAAAATTGGATCGAGTAAAAAATTATCTGGGTATTTTGGACACTTCTAGCCTTTTTCGAACAAAATGATGCCATTTGAATTTCTTGGGCTTTCCGTAGTCAACGTGGAACACCCCAATTTATTGTATTCATGTGATTTAGCATTTTTGCTTTTGTGGAGACATAAATGTTGGCAAGCGGCTGGAAGAAACAGACTTCAAAAAGGCTTCAAATTGGGGCCCAAGAACGATACGGCCCTCATGGAAGAGGAAGCCCACCAACATCACTTTCCCAGTTCACAGCGGGGAGCATAGCAGCTCTCCGCCGAGCGCTCTCTACCATGTGGGTCTAGGGGTGTTTTAACAATGTTTAGCTCTATTTTCTCCATTTAGCATAAGCCTGTTGTCACATTTGGATGGCTCCTTCATAAATTGATGGTGTGATTCCTACAATTTCGGGACAGGCCTGAATGACAAAATATGCAACACAACATTCGATACCGAGGTGGCTGGCAAGCACCAACCATGTGCACTGGACAGGCTCTTAGTGTAAATGTTTACAACCCCCCACTGAGCTCAGTGCTGCTGGGAGTCACTCTCATCAGGCTGAATGGGATTTAGCACGGCCATGTGTAGTCTCTAGTTAGTTCGATGATTAAAATTGCCTTTCACTCACGGTTTGACTTTTTTTGTATATGGCATTTGAATATTCCTCTTCTTCAGGCTATTACAAAATTACATGTCTGTAGTCAATATGGGCAGCAACCTTTTGAAGTCGATATACATTTTTTTTTTTTAGATTTGGTCGTCTTTCACTGGAAAGAACAACAGTTGCCACGTTAAGCAAAAAATAATAGCTGCTACAGATCCATGCCGTTGGAGTGTCACAAATTACACTATTAACACATTTTACAAAGCCTGAAAAAACGTACACTTACCAAAATAGATGTTTTTTAAAAAAATGTTTACGTTTAAAAAGAAGAAAGAAATGTAAACGCTGATTTTAAATTTATGGTAAAGCTGTTCTCACCTGTCAGTTTTATCTGAAGAACCTGTTTTATTTATACTGCTGTATGCAAAAAAATCCTCTTAACGGCAATACTTTATGTTCATATTAAACACATTTTTTTGTAGAAATTTACCCTGAAACTACTTTCATATCTACTGCGCTGCTTGAATAAAACAGAAATAACAGCATGATGGCAATTATGAAGACATGCCCATGAACTAACCTTTTTTATCACTTTTATTCAAAAAGTTTTAGCCAGATTGCTGTTATATTACTTTCATATGCGGAAGCATAGATCCTTTAAAGATGTTCTGCAGTCATGGGATCAGGACAGGTATAAAGATGAAGCCTCCAAATGCAATCACCTGAAATATACAAACATTAGAATGGCCTTTATTTGCACGTCAGGCAATAAATTAAGATTTAGATGAGTAAAATCAAATCGATGTCAGACTATTCCCAAATAATATCTCACAGTCTGAGATCTTACCCCTTTGTTACTGATATATTCTGTATTTGAAGATTATAAATAAGTTATATTTGATGTCCCAATATCTCTGACACAATTGTGGATAGATGGTGCTGCAAATAAACAAGTATTATTTGAAGAGAAAATATATGCACAAACTTCAAATGATGGATAAATGAAAATGAATAGAAATGCTTTAACATAACATTTATAATTTTTAAATCTAAATGAAGCGAGTGTGTTGAAGAAGAGCCAAGAGGCATTAAGGCTGAAACTGCAAACCAAGGAGTAAATCGACTTAATACCATCACATTTCCACCCATTCATGCCTAAGAAAAGGGTTAGAGGAAGAGATTAGGTTGTATATCTGCTGTCAGGGACTGAAGAGACCAAGTAGAGAACTTCACCTAAACAGAACGATGATCAAACAGACATGCTTTAACAGACATGCTTCATAATCTCATCTCTTATTGTCTCCTCTCTGCCTTGACTACAGGTTCAGTGGCAAATCTGAGACAGGGGCAGATTAAAGTGTGATGAAATGTCTGAGAAATATGTGAGAATTGTGCAATATAAGGACGGCTGATTTTCTACCCACATGACGAACATAATCACTATTAGTAACACATATCTACATAAATATGATAATTCAAAATTTAAACACATTCATTGGGTTCATATTGGAAATCAGAACCATCTGATGGCATAGTTTTATGGATAATTACCGCCACAGAGATAATGCAGCAAATGAAAGGGAAAGCTTTGAGGCTTCTCCACTCACTGGGTAAAGAGTGCGTAGGTTTAGTTGTGCATCTGAGCTGTACCCAAAAGGCAAATGTGTGGAAAGTTTGGTGACAAGCATCCAGGCATGCGGTTAACAAGATTGCATCTGGTGAGCAGAAAGTGTAGGCCACAGCTTCACTTTGCATTTAAAGGGCAAATCATTTTCACATTAAGTTCAATGGCGCCCGTAATCCCTCCAAATATAGACACAACTATTTCATTTTCGGTAGAAAATAATTATTCAAATACCCTATAGTGCAAATCCCCTTAATTTAGTGCATGACACAGTTTTTGATTTCCAACCACAGAACAAAACAGAGAAGAATCCAGTAAACATTAAAATCTGTTGTTTTATTTTAGTAATCTGGCTGCTTACTGACAAGAAAATAATCAATACAAATAGTTCTGAAGTGTCTGAAAATAGACAAGCGATTTAAACTGTAACTAACAGCCATGCATTTTCCAGCTGCAGTGCAGTGTTGAGGAAATGACACCAGCTTTGATGGGCTGTATAGCTTTTGAGATGAGCCTCTTTATGCCGCTTGCAGTTCCATTATGGCTTTGTTCGAAAGCTTGTTTACCTGCTGATAACATACACTGGTGGATTCAGGAGCACCGATCCAAAATCTGCTGCCAAAGTCACTCAAGTCTCATTGTACTGCAGGAGGGGAAGAATGAAATGTTTATGCGGAGGGGAATGCAAATGCTAAATGTGAAATCAAACTATGGGACCAATAAGGGATCAGAATAACTTTGCCAGGTTTTATTTTTAGCCCCGTTGCAATGCTAGCTTTGTGGAACACTCTTCACTTTAGCCCCTGTGCATCTGTGTGCTTAGGTTTTTCACTCTGTGATGGAAATGCTGTTTGCGACATGACAAAAAATGCTAAAACTGTATGTGATTATTTCTAAAAACAGGTAAGACAAAACAATCTCCCATCACGCCGCACACAGCTTGGATGAGACAAAAAAAGGGTCCAGGCTGACTGCTGACAGCCTGAACGCGATGCCGGGTTGCCTGTGATAAAGCTTGATATCAAATCACCGGCCGATCAAAAACTGCTCATCAAATCTCCTCTTTTTACATCACTAAAATATTTTGGGATTTCACCGTTATAAAAAAAAAAGCTATGGTCTCGGGTCAAAGGAATGGCCCCTTGGTTTGCATATTAAAGAGGATTTGCTAGACCCCTGTTCACCACGCATCCCCATGCAGGCAGGTCTCCAGGGGGCCAGCAGGGCCCCACAGACGGGCGACTCGGGGGCCAGGTGACCCTGTCTCCGAGGTTAGCAGGAAACACTAAAGAGGGATGGGCCGGGAGCTGAGGAGCCACTGAGTGCGAGTGTGCAAGGCTGGTGATGGCAGCTGTCAATGGTTTGGAAGGAGAAGCAGACAGATTGTGCGTTCTGTTGGTGCAGCCAGTTCGCCACCTGGCAGGCTTTTCCTTGTTAGAACTTCTTGCTGTTTTCTGTTCTCATCAGAGAGATGTTTTTTCCTCTTATCCTTAGTGTTCAGGAGAAGTTAAATGGGTTTGAATGTTTAAAGATGTTTAACATTATCGTTAAAAGTATTCTCGAAGAGTGATTTAAGAAGCAATCGAATTCAATCGAAAAGCTATATTTATTCATGAGAACCTTGATTTGTGCGATAAGCTATAACACATGAAATAGATTTATTACAAGGGGGGAAAAAAACATTTCCTCTTAGTATTGACGTTACACTGCATTATTTATCAGTTGCTGAAGAATGGGGGTATGTTTCAAGGGGTAGGATTTGCTTAAATAAAATAATCTTTAACTTTAAAATCCCATCACAGCCATAAATACTGCTCCATGTTGCTCAGTTGTTATGCAAAAAATGCAAACGGAAAGCATGAACAGCTCAAAAGTACATTTGAAAATCACATTTGGCAGTCAGTCCTTGTTCCAACAGGATTAAAAAAAGTCTTTCATTTGATATAAATATATGCAAAGAGAGTGGTGTGGTGATCTGGGTGCCAGAGGTGGCGCTTTACTCTGGATATTCTGGCTTGGGCCTGTAAGGGACATAAATTAACATGAATTAACACATGCATGCAATAAGAAAATAATTAATTCAAGTTATCAGTCACCTCTTCCATTCCAGGAATCTGATTGACAAGATAAAGTAATGTGCAAACTGCTTTTCAAAGCTAACAGCCTGAAGCACCCCTCCTATTAGTTAGTCATTCCCTCAGTATCACACCCGGAATCTGTCATTTCACAATTTTCTCCTATAATGCATATGTGCCGCTCTCACCACTCCACTACAGCAACTGCCATCTAACAAGTTGACAGAAAATGATACAATTCACGTCCAGTATTCAGTTCCATATACAGCGAGCATCTGAGGCAGACGGGTCAAGAATATGGTACATTCTGTTCTCTCTCAAAATTGCTTTTCTAGGACTCTCTAGGAGCTAGAGAAGGTTCCAAAGATCCTATTCAAACACCTAAGAGGGGCCTTTAGGATGCTAAACTCCAAAGGTTCATTGTGATTTTGTTAGACATTGCCCGTTATTTAATTTCAGAACATTTGATCTGATACAATTTCTCATATGTTACTGTGGTAAAAAGTTACTGAAGTTTTGATATATAAATATATGTTTGGATTATACCACTTCTGATACCCTTTTATCAGCATAAAAAGGATGTTGTTGAGCAAAAGGAACAGTGTTTAAATCCTAATAATAGTAAAAAATCAACAAAAAGGATTAGTCTCATTGATCTTTGACGTATACGATTGTGTGTTGGGGCATCATAAATTGGCAAATGAAAACATTTCGAATACAAGCGTGGGGGAGTGGATGGTCTTGAGCCATAACCGTACAATGACGTACACTAAGAACAATTTACATGAGTGTAAACACAACCACATGAACGCATCGACAAAAGATCCACCTACAAGAGAGAACGTCAGAGATCAATATGTTGTCGGCTGAGTCGGTTCAGTCTCAATTATGAGTACATCTTCAATACAACATCTAAATTTAACATGCATTACAGCATATTTTATCATTAGATATATGTGAACAGTTTTTTGCAAAAGATTGTTTTCTGAATACAATCAAAAACAGATTCTGACAAAAAAGTGAACTAAGTATTTTTTGGTCTAAGCATTCTATTTTTCATATCTTTTAAAATTTTCTACAACATATCAACATATCCTCTAAAAATAATGAGATATAGTCTATGATGAATTCAAACAGTTTGTACAGATTGTTTTGTCCCATTTATCATGGTATAGATTAATTGATTAATTGCAGTTTTTCATGGGTTAAAAACATTTAGCTGAACTTAAAGTCAGCAAAAGTCAGCTTTGTTAAGTGTACAAACTAGTTATCACTAGATTTTCCACAAATACTTCTATAAAATCAATTCAGCATTATTTGTACAACTGATATGTTTTTTTTAATACACAATTTACAATTGTGTCATTGCAAAAACATGGAAAATGTGGAAAAAACATGGAAAAAATGTGTCAATTACATTTTCTTATCATATAATTTCTTCTAGGAAATTGTGTTTGTCATATTAATATGCTGCTGCTTAGAGTGCTGTTGTTGTCCACTGGATTAGTTCCTTGCATTGTTTTTCGCCAACCATTGTAAGATGTACGACCAGGGGTCAGTTGACCAATTTAGGAGGAGAAAGGGAGGTAAAAAAAAAAAAACATTAGAGGATGAAAGAGTGCACAAAAGTTGTTCTGTTGCCTGTGAGTGTGGTGTCAGCCGGTCCCAGTCCCTGTGGCCCTCACCGTCCACTGTTCAGGCCTGACGGGAAACTGACCGCAGCACAGGACATGGCCTCGTTTGTTCACGGTCCCCCCTCGCTGAAAAGAGTTATGCTGTGTCTGTTTTGAATGGACAGCGTTTTTCTTTGTGCGCTCGATCAAAACAGAGGGCAAAGTTAGTCAGCAAGTTGCATAGCTTCTGCATTCTGATTCTTCAAGCCTCTTTTGTATGAAGTTTAGCACAATGTTTTACACTGTGTTCGACCTGAACGGCATGGTGAAGGTAGGCGCATTTTTTCCAAACTACAAAGTAGAAAGGTGTAGAAAGTGGTTGTGTTATCAGATGGCCCTCTTTTTCTCTGTGGCGGAATGAATTTATTATGATAATCATAGGAGGTTGAAAATCTCTGCTACAATGCAGGAAATGACAGTGCAGTGTCTCTGAAATATTTATACACTTCTATCTGATCTATTTCCTAACCACAAGGTATTTGCCCGCGAATCCCTGGCACTTTTGATATTACCTGAAGGCAAATGGTATATAGATTTATACAAGTTATTTACAACAACAGCCAAACCATTCCTCTGAAAACTAGGCTGCAGATCAAAGGATTGTTTTGATCTCTACTTAGCATATTTGTTTAACCTAGCCAGTGATTCTGAAAAGTGCACAAGCTTTTCGGTGATATGCAGAGCACCCTTTATCCGTCTTTTTCTTCTGTTAGCTCTGGATTTAAGTACTTTCTGTATTTAGGAGACAACTGGATTTGCCAGCTTTTGAAATTTAGTTGCCCACTGCAAGCAGTCTTGGCACTCAGAAATAGATAACTAGGTATGTTCCACTGCTAATCCTGATCGGCCTTGTAATAGTATTTGTGGACTGTACAGCACTCAATTAGGGCATAATGTGCTATTTTTATTTCCTTTAAGTTGGATTAAATATGAAAACATGTTTGTTTCTTTCTTTTTTCATTTCCATCTACTCTCTACTGTGTGTGTACTTTGCAAAGTATTGTTTAGAGCCGTTTCAGGCGCTGTGACTCTCCACACAGAGCCGCTAAATGTCAGGAGAAAAACAATGTCCAAGCGCTCTCTAAAAAAGATGCCAGGGCAATCAGGAAATTTTCTGGAATGCTTAAGAGAATGCATATGCACACAATGCCCTAATTCTCTCTGACTTTGGGTTTGGGAAAGATGAGCCCGGGTTCGTTGAGAGCCAAAAAAGGGGGCAGATGGCTCACAAGAGGGATAAACCTGGGAAGTCATGCTGTAAATGTGTTTTACAGAAAACAATGAAAGGAGCGGACAAAGCGATTGTGGCAAAGTCCTTTGGAAAATGGAAAAGCAGCTCTCTAAGGTCCAGGACCATGGAGAAGCCGGATGAGCCGTCCGAGGAGAGCAAGAAGACAACAAACCTTTCCAACTGCACCTGTGAAGCCCCCCAACTCGGCAAGAAACCAGTTGGTAAAACTACCTTATTTTTCTTATTTTAAGTCCAAGCGTACGGCTATGTCTCCCAGCATATTTTTCTTGAGGCAATTTGGATTATTACAGGGCTGACTTGATTTTCCTTTTCTTTTTTTTTTGTTTGACTCTCTGGCCTGCCATATCCGGTGAACAAACAAACCACATTGTTGGGCAGGAGAATTCCTTTTGAGGGAAAGTGTGTCTCCGATGATACAGTGCTGCCAGAAAAAGACAAAGCAAAAAATAGCAAACACAAAAACAGTCACAGGTGCATGGGAAAAAGAGAGAAGCGAGTGAATGGTCACTGCGGTCCCCAGGAGGTCTTTCAGTGTTAGCCAGTGTGGTGGGTGGACTTCTGACAAGGACGTTGGTTAGCGGCCAGGTGGAGTGTGTAACTGAGAATGCTCCTGTTTATTCTTTTCACATGCTAATGTGGCTCCTTTGTGACTTTAAATGCGGCAAAACTTTTTCTTGGAGTTAACATTTTTGTTGTTCCAATACCTTCTCTTGTATCACAGCCGTGGGGTGATTCAAAGGCGACTCACTCTTTTATAGACGTTTGGGGCTGTGCCAGGGATGGAGATACGTTAACAGAGGTGTTCTTAAAAAAAAGAAAGAGAGAGAAATACACTGGTTGAATATTGCCCGTGCTAGCATGTACAACTTTGATCTGTTAAAAGATCATGCCATTTGTATGAAAATATTTGAAGTAAGGTTTTTGGCTTTTTAATGTCTTGAGTGTCACACTTTATTCAGAAGTGGTTCATTCTTTCAGTTTTGATCTTTGTATTTTTTTACATCTTACTAGCAGGATTTATCTTATATGCAATGAAAAGAATAAAATTACACTATTAAATAAACAGCTGAAATAGGTCTTCTGACAGACTGGAATGAATGGCTACAGCAGGACGCAAGTTCTGCAAAAATGCACCCCTATGTGGACAAAGTAAGAACAGAGCTATTTGGAATAAATACACATGCAGCGCTGTCTTCACTGGGCCATATTCTGCCCTCATGACTCTGAAATCCAACCTTTGAGTACAATACGCTCTCAGACTTACAGTAAAGAATCTGTAAATATAGCTTCCTTTGTATAGTTTTTAGACAGCCTATTTCCGATGTAAGGATAAAAGCAATATTGCATCAGATTATGAGACCTTCCATACCTAGTGGTACATAATCTGTAAATAGCTTCAAAGGCACTGCATCTGCCATCTGCACTTCTAGGAACTCTTCTGCATAGCCATTAAAACAAGCTGTCTCAAAGGACATCATTCGTATTTCAGCCTCAACCCTGAATTACTGTGTGTTCATTATAATTATAAGGGAGGAGTGTTGCCAGGCTAGCCTGCAGAATGCCAGGTGCACACTTCCATAATCTACCATTTTAAACAACTCAGAGCATTAACAACGGTATCTACATGCTATTCAGCCATTAGTTCTCTTTGGCTTTCATGCCCGAAACTGACATCAGTCATAGGAGCATTTGGAGTGCTGCGGCAGACGTAAAGTAAGAAAGTGCAATACTTTGTTGTGATCCATTTTCCTAAGCCTTCTTAGGTTATGTGACTGAGCCATGCTGCTGTGTGAAATTTTATCCCGATACTGGCACTGTATCCTTGTGAGGGAGTCTTGTAAAATAGGTTTACTTAGCGCCTTTGCTGGCATTTTCCGAAGATAGCAAATGCACACACACTGTCCATGATCGGATTAACTGTTCAACAAAATGATGTAACTCTTTGTCTCTCTTGTGTGGCATTGGGTTTCTCTGCTTAAGTTTAGTGGTCAACCGGAAGAGAACAGCACATTAAAAGCCAGTCACAGAATTATAACGCAAGTATTACAAATGTAACAGATGACAGTCTCGGTCGATCGTTCTTTGTCACACAAATGTGATATGTGGCTCTCCAAAAGCGAATAAATCAAAATTCACTTGGTTTCTGTTTTTTTCAGATGCATGCTCAAACTGCACAACAACCCGCAATCAAAGCAAATTCTGATTTGTAAGGCAGTTAATTTTGAACTTTGCCTGGTATTCCTCTGTCATGTTGTGGCACAGGATTTAAATTGCATGTGATATGTGTGAAATATTTTTAAGGCATCCAGCATAGTATAAAGTATGCAATGCCAAATACACAGAAAACATGGATTTTTACTTCAGCACATGCAACTATGCATCCGAACTTACAGGGATGGTCAAAACTAAATATCTGACGCACAGTTTATTAGGTAGAAATCAGTTGAAACATCTCCATGAATCTACCTTATTTCCATTTTAATTACTACTGTTACTTATTCTTATTTTTTGGATGTGACCATAGCAAGCTCAATCCTCCCCCCTACACTAGAAAGAAGCAAAATGACTGTTTTCCACTGGAGGTTTAGATGCTTGTTTATCACTTTTAAATACCATCATCTTTGCTGAAATCCCCTCTCAAAAGAACCTTTCACTTGCTGGAATAAATTCAAATTAAAATTTAAATCCCTCTTTGCATTTCTTCAGCCTTTTTTAAAATAGCTGCCTCCTTTTAGAAAGCTGTTTATGTAGTGATCTGTTCATAATCCAGTTTGTTTCTCAACAGCGAAAAACACAGAAATCGTATTATCACTATCTTGGAGAGATGATGCGAAAAATCAGGAAGTATAAATGTCTGGATCTGGGGAAGTTTTCAAAGTTTTAAAGCTGAAAAAAATATGGCAAAAGCCTCTCAGTGAAGTAGTCTATAATGCTGTAATTTGACTTGCAAATATTCAGTAACATAAAGTACGTCTCAAACACATTTCTCCAACCTTTAGTTCATGTAACAAGCAACAATATACGCTCTGTCAACAAATACACAACATTTTGGCATGTTTTAGAAAAGCATGAACACAGCAGTTCTGCTATTCTCCAGGTAGTGGTTTCATCATAAATGCTGGTGTATGGCATCAACTATTCACATGAAAGCGGGAAGATTAGCTCTTGTCACTGTAGCTGACAAGTCCTGCAGATCTCTCTGAACAGGTCTTTAGAATCTAAAAAAAAGTGCTCACCTTCCAATATACGGAGAAGAACAATATCTAATCAGAAATGTAACAAATATAAACAGAAAACTGCAGACATTTACTGCAATGCCTTTTGATAACAACCCATTTGAGATGTAAAACGACACGAGAAGAGGCCATGGTGAAGTTTAATTTGCTCAGGCTAGATTGGATTTATTGTTTGGAAACAAATGATAATTGAAGATCTAGAAAGTTAACCAAGATCTAAACAAAAGCAAATCAATGACCCGCCCTCATTAATCACTCAAAGCCAGCTACTTGTGCTGGAGAAACTTACTTCATAATCAATTTCTTTGTTTTGCTCAGAGGGCATTTGCATTTTAGTTCATGACACAAAGCTTCCTGTATCTGGCGTAATCAAAAACTGCAAGCCATCCACATTAATGGAGGTTTTCCTATTTATTCAAGTGCATATCTCAGGATACTCAAGATGATTTTAGCTTATTATGCCCACGGTGTTACAAATATCAGGAGTAGTAAGCTTAACTTTTGGATGTTTTTAGTATATTTTATTCAAAATAACATTTTGTTAGCCATATCACTTAAGATGCTGTAAGTCTTCAGGACAATTTTTCTCTTTTTCTGATCATTAAGATCTTGAAGTCAAGCAGTGGACACCACCAGGACTCATGAAACCAGATAGAAAAGCGTCCTTTTAGTTGTGTCTAGACATACTATTACAGCCACCAAGGTCATTATGAAAGCCCATATTACACACACCTGTTACTATTGTGTAGATACCCATTTTTTGGCCGAATATCACAGCTCCCATCTCGCCATTTATAGGCGTGTCTGCTCCATTGTGTTCGTGCCTGAGTAGAAAAGATGGGCAGGGACCCCAGAGGCACCTGCTTAACCTCTTAGTGGCACAAAGTCATCCCCCAGCCTTGGAAAGGGAAAACACTGACTGACCAGTCAGGTATTGATTTGTTAAATGTAAGCAATCCTGTGATTTCAGCAGGGGGGGGTGGAATTAAAGAAACCACCTATGATCCCTTTTTCATGCATGCTTGGCTTTAGACTGGCAGTCATACTGATAAATGTCATCTTTAACCAGATTTGATCAATATTGACATGATTTTAGTCAGTTTCGAGTGGGATTTACATCACAACTGTGGTGCAGAAGTGATCAGGTTAAAACCAGGTTTGATTAATAAAACCAGATGATTTTGACCAGGTAATCTCGTCAGGAGAGGGAAAATAGGGCTTGCAATTATCAAGTAAGACTTGTGCGTTTTATTAACACTTATTAAGTAAATAACTGTAAGGCAAGGCCTTTTCTTTGTATAGCAGTATTAATACACAACACAATTCAAGGTGCTTTCCCAGGACTTAGAAATACAGTCGGATAAGACGTAAGAGGAACATTAATAGCAGGAAAAAAGCAAACATAAAGCAGGAGAAGGCAAATATATAAACAAGAGCTGCAGTTTAGTCTAACAACAATGAGTTGTTGCGTAGTCTGAGGAAGAAATTTGTCTGTTTTCTGTAAGAGTTACTGGTAAATTCTGATTCCCACCCAATCTTTCCAAGAGCACAAACATTAAAGTTGGGTCCCCATAAGCTAATTCTTTTTACAGTATTACAGTTAGGGCACTGCTACTTCTAGTTATAAAGCAGTAATGTTGTGAGGCGGTAAAGTTTCACAGTGTTAATGTCCAGTTTGGGTGTCAACATGTAAATATTCTTAGACGATGAAAAGAACCAATTTTGCTTTATATTTCTTTCAGAAAAGTTTGAATAATTCAGACCTCTACAGTGAGCAGTTCCACCAATTACATCAAACTTAAACTATATTTAGATTAGATTTTTTTTTTTGCATCTCTTAAATCAAAGCTAACTTTGTGCACGCAATCGTTTTAATATGTTTTTAATGAGTTTAGACAACAAACTCAGTTTCATCATCGCCGTTGTTTCGGTGGTGTTCGTGGTAGAAAGAGAAAACATCCTATATTCATACACGAAACCTTTCAAAGGTAATTGAAGCATCTTCAAAGGACACAGAATAAACATATTGTAAGGTTTCTCACGGTCACACACATTTGCCCCAAAGGGAATTGCTGGGAAGTAATCTAATCATTTCTTTTAACTGAGATATAGTGACATGCAGGGTAGATAATGATCCCCATGAAAAATGTACTGTATTTTCAAAAGAATATTCCCTGTCTGATGACATTAACATAAAGATAGTTCTACATCCTGCAGCCATATCAACATCAACATGTACTTATGTTTGATTTATGATATTTGCATATGCAAATACATATATATATATATTTTTCCAATTCAATTCTTTCTTTTTATGTGACTTTGTGTGATGAGCAAGCTGTATAAAGTGATTGAACAATGAGGTACCACCAAAAAGAAGCATATGTGTCATGGCAGACCAAGCTTAAAGCATCACAGCTGTAATTTTTACACATCCATAACATTCAATAGCAACGTAGAAAGGCATTGTTGTTTGTCTGTAGGCTGCCGTGTAAATTGGTCGTGTTGCTTTGCTGAAATTACAAGGCGGGGTGTTGAGTGAGAGGGTTTGTTGAAGTTATACCGCTGACATTTTGATCCCGCAGTGCATTAGAAGAATCCAGTTAAACATATTTGTGTAGGTTTCGCAGGAGGAAGGTATAGTGCTGAAAACAACAGGGTGCCGTGACACTTCACTTTGCTTACATAATTTGCAGCAGAATGCAAAAAGCTTTTAGACACAGATGTGACCCATTGTAATACCTTTCTAAATGCAATCAAACACTTTCTACAAATATGAGCAGGACTTTTTAAATGTGAACCCTTGTTTGACATGTAATTTTGTCCAACCCACTCCTCTTTCATTTCTACATCAGCTCTCTCTAGTTATTCCTGCATTTTCAGTTGATGAAATAGCTTGACAAAACACTAGTTCTATGTTGTGTCGGAGTTCTCTCCCTCTCTATTTTTAAATGTTTTTAGATTTGAACAGATGTTGCGGCCAAAACAGAATTTTGCATTTTGTAATGGTGTCGTTGTGTAGCCATCAATTTGTTGGTGTTCTCGCACAACTTGTCAAGATTATTTAACATGAGTTGATTCTCTTTTCCCCCGCTCAAACAATACTTATGCCATGTCCGGTACATGAAATAATAATCCCTAGAACAAGACGGTAGTGAGATTGTCTGCATTAGCAAGCGCGGAACATGTTATTTGATAAGATTCTTAGATGGAGGATTCTTTACTTTGGAGTGTTTGTATGATTATCAGGGAAAAAAATGGTGAAAAGAGGGTAAACCAGAGCACGTCTGCTCTCTTTGTATGTCTCTTTCACAGTGTACCATGAATTGGCTCTTGAAGACAGTTAGAAATTAGACTTTCAAATGAGGCATTAAACAAGGTGATGATCAACTGCCAAACCTTAAGTAATGATATTCTATGTCCTCAAGTCCCCAGCCTTGCATAACCAAGTGCACAAATCACAGAAAAAAGAACTGAAAATTCATTATTATTACATATTGTGTTCGCACGTTGGTCCCCGGGGAGCGGGAGGGTGAGGGGCTGGGGGCTGGGGGCAGGCCACGCCATCACAAATGCGTGTTTGGGTGGCCTCAACCATCAGCTGTGGTGGAAGGGCTAGGCTTGGATGTTGAAGGGGGGGAGTGGGGGCCTCATGGGTATCACTTATTTTAAATCCTGAACCACACCAGCCCAACTCCCCCCCCCTTTTTTTTTTTTTTGCCCCCTTCGCCCCAGGCTCCACCCAGAAGTGTGGTTCCCATTGTCATTGTAATCTGGCCCTGTTTGCTAAACGCTTCCACTGTTTACTCTCTGCTATGGGGGCTTGTATGAACAGGAGTCAGCAGGACGCAGGGTGACATCACATTGGCTGTGGGTGGTGGTGGTGTGTGTGTGTGTGTGTGTGTGTGTGT